CTCCGTTGGGGACTTAGAGGTTACAAGATTAGTTCTTAGTTATGTTTCAAGGTTTCCAACACTAGGCTACCTATGGGTTGTAACGAGAACTAACTTGGATAATCTCTAGTTAGAGAGTGAGACTTGAACGCATAATAAATTCCTTTTTCACAAAAGTAAAAGCCAAACAAGCAACATTGCATCATGCATAATCATAACACACATTAATAATTGGGGATTGGCTCATTGACTAGGGGTTGCCAACACTAGGCTTCTATCTCGAAATCGATAACAAACATCCAACCCTTATCGCCAAAAAATGTTGGGAGGGATACGTCATGGGTCAACACGTTGAGTGATTGATTCGTGCATCGTCCCTTAACATATGGTACCTTTAGACACCCAAACCTTGACCTTAGAATATCATTGTATGCTTTGACGATTCCTTTTATGTGTGATAGGCTTATCGCGTACCTAACAAAAATAACCTAACTATTCCTTCTAACTGTGTAGTAGGGCAAGTAAGGATCGAATCCCAAGAGACTATGGTTCATTCAATTAATCAGACTCAATTAATCACTAAGCACGTCACCAATCAATAATGGATGATAATAATCAACTAATATATTAAATAACACAATTAACTAGAGGAAATATTAATCAATAAACTAAAGCATCCAAGATCAAGCATTACCACGATTATGATTGATAAACTAATAAATCTACCCCCAATATATAAATCAATTGACAAGAAGAAAAGCAATCCCTAATAATAATACCAAAGGTCTCTTCCAAGTTATCAATGGCTTCCCAAATTAACTATCAAGCCTACTTCCGTGGAATCAAGCGAATAAGGGACATTAAACACCATGCCTAGATTCCTAATTATTCAATCATCTACTTCCGTGATGATCTTCAAACCCTTAATTGGAATAACCTAATCCCGTTAATACCCAACTTCCGTTGCAATAAGAACAAAGGGATGATAACAATACTAATTATTCCTAATCTAGTATTGGCATAAACACAATCAATTAAGCATGTCAATTGGGATTATTATTGGGGAATTTAAAGATCTACTTTATACATCAATCATAATCGGGCTTAGCAAGATCCCGGATTAAGGAAACTACTCACACATCATAATAAAATCAAAATCAAGTTCAAAAACAAGAAACAGTAAAGAAAACATATTTAGAGAACAGTGAATATCAGAAAAGAGTGAAGTAAGATAAATACCAATTACTCCAATTGAAAGAACTCAAATTGTTGATGAACAATTGATTAATCTGGGATTAAAAGATTGAAATTGCTTAAAGGAAATAAAACTAGGGTTCTTGAGAGTTTTCTAGGGCTTAAGGAGAAAAACTAATGAAAAACTCTCTTTAAAAGTTAATTACAAAAGGGTATTTATACCCCCAAAAGATAGAAATTCGGAAATAGCTGAAATCGCGCAATCTTGAACATCGCCCGGTCAGACCGGGCAGATCTCGCCCGATCGGGCGGAGGAAGGCTGCGTAAAATACGACAGTTTTCCTTCTTTGCCCGGTCAGACCGGGCGAACCTCGCCCGGTCGGGCGCGCGTAACACGTTTCCAGAATTGCATCTTCATAACTTGACTTCTTCATCGCCCGGTCTGACCGGGCGAAGCCTGCCCGATCGGGCGCGCGTTGCACCGTTCAGAATTGGGCTTCTTCCTGTGAACTCTTCATTGCCCGGTCTGCCCGGGCAAGCCATGCCCGGTCGGGCACTCCACATAAATTGCAGTTCTTGGCTATCAACTCTTCCGAATCTACTAAAAACACGTCCAATTGCCTAGAAACGCTTCATATTCCTGAAAAGCTTACTAGAACAATCGAATACACTAAAGAAGAGATTGTTAGCAAGAAATGGCTCCGTAGAGCTCAAAACCATATAAAATTACTAAGTAAAACCGGGGAAAACCATTGTATAAAACACGTATATCAAATTCCCCCAAGCTAAACCTTTGCTTGTCCCTAAGCAAAGCAATGAATAAATAAATCAATACTTCACCCCAAAAGCAATTCAAATCAATAAATACGATTAAAGGTAAACTCGACAGTTATGCATCAAAGTCAACCAATCAAATCCATCTGACTACTCATCCTGTCTGACAATAGTCAAATAGAGCAAACCACAAGAGCATATAGAATTCAAGACTAGTGTTCACACACTCAACTCTCATTTATGTGGCGAGTAAAAGATATACTCGATCGCTCTCCATCCAACTCCTTTAAATGTGAACAATGCCCTCCCAAACTCACGCACTCGTGTGTTTAAAGAAAACAAGCACTCAACCTAGCAGTCGACTCGAAATATATCAAATCATTCTTTGCATTGGAAAACAACTAATTTCACATTCACACAACTCTATGCACAAAGGTCAGAAGGTCTTCAAAGCTTGTAATGTAAGGCTCGGATAAAAGGTAGGAAATATTTGGGAAAATGTAAGAGTAAAGCTATGCTTAAGGGAGCCAAAATCCTAATAAATAAAACCAAGGTCAAAATGAATTAATGACCAAATCATCTCCAACACAACTCAACTCTACCAAAAATTCACCAAACATCCAATTATATTAAAAATTTCCAACACTTAAAATTTCACTCATATATACAAAATATAAAATTATAGAACTTGAGTGAACAAACAAACTTTGAACTCTCCTTTTTTTCTTGAGCAGCCTTCAATTAGAACACTTGAACATTGAAACAATTTTTTTCTTTTGCTCTTTCTTTTCCCTTTTTTTCATCTCACATTGGAATTTTTTCTTTGCACAATAAATTTTCAATTTTTTCAATCCACAACAATAAGAACAAATAAAAACTTCTCAAATCCACCCAAAATTGTGCAGATTACATGCACACTACAACTCCCTCACCTCACTCACTATTAGCTCCCCCAAGCCAAGCTTGGGACTAGTAACCAATGGGGCTTAAATAGGCTTGTAATGTGGCAAAATAAACAATAAAAGGGCACAAGCAACAACATGGGTAGCAAGAAGGGAACAAATGTATCTAATATCGTCTGAAAGCCACCTAGAGGAACAAATGCCTTCGTCCTCCTCAATGTGCATATTAATGAGTCATGCAAACATTACTCAAAGTTATAAACCAATACTCAACTTCATTGACATACCAGGAACTAACACACATTCCTAACCAAATCAACTAGTCAAGCACTATATTTACAAGTAGTTGGGCAAAATTGACTCATGTTAAGACATCCAAGTAATCAAACATCAAATCATGGCTAACCTATCCACAATACTCGTCATCATATACCAAGAATTAAAACAATTTTCATGAATGGGGCACAGGGAAGCATGATTTATTATTCATTGGATCGTATTTTTTTGTATGTTTTTTTTTTTTTTTTTTTTTTTTAAAAACAACTAAAATAACTACACTAAAATAAAACAAGAAAGATAAGAGAGATAAGGAGAGAGAGAGTACCACATGTACGAAGCAACTCCCCCAAGCTAAATGCGGCAATGGCCTCATTGCAGCGTAAGGAGAGCATAGGAATCTCGACGGCTCCTCAAAAAGAATCGGGTTGCCTCCCGCAAGCGCTTGTTTAGAAGGTCATTAGCTTGACCGTATTCATCCTCATTGAGTTTGTGGTGAGGAAGAGAATGTGATATCTGACTTTTCTTCAATAGGATCTCCCGCTCGATAGTGCTTCACCCTTTGTCCATTGACTTTGAAGGTGCCCCCGGTGTTGTTCCATAATTCAATGGTGCCATAAGGATATGCTTTGTAGACCGTGAAAGGGCCCGACCATCTTGACCTGAGTTTCCCTCTACTTTGGCTTTGTCCACCTCAATCCCTTTGTTTGAAACTACATGGCCTAAAACGATTCCCTGTTGTACCATAAAATGGCACTTCTCCCAGTTCAATATCAGATTGACATCCTGGCATCTATGGAGCACCTTTGTTAGATTATCAAGGCAAATATCGAAAGATGAACCATAAACAGAAAAATCATCCATAAAAACTTCCATAGAATTTTCTATGAGACCTGAGAAAATAGCCATCATACACCGTTGGAACGTGGCTGGGGCATTACACAGTCCGAATGGCATTCTGCGATATGCGAAGGTGCCATATGGACATGTGAATGTAGTCTTTTCCTGATCACAAGGGCGGATGGGGATTTGAAAAAAACCGGAATATCCATCCAAGTAACAGAAAAAGGAATGGTTAGCCAATCGTTCGAGCATTTGATCAATGAAAGGCAAGGGGAAATGATCTTTACGGGTGGCTTTATTTAATTTTCTGTAATCAATGCACATCCGCCACCCTGTAACAGTTCTTGTGGCAACAGGCTCGCCTTTGTCATTCTTGACAACTGTCATACCTCCTTTCTTTGGTACTACTTGTACAGGACTAACCCACTTACTATCTGAGATAGGGTAGATTATTCCTGCAGCAAGCAATTTGAGAACCTCTTTCTTGACTACCTCCATCATAGTTGGATTTAGCCTTCTTTGAGGTTCTCTAGAGGAGGCATGATCGTCCTCAAGAATGATCTTATGCATACAAAAAGAGGGATTAATACCCTTGATATCATCAATGGTATACCCAATAACATTTCTATATTTTCTTAAAACAGCGAGAAGTTTCTCTAATTCAATGTTATTAAGCTCAGCATTAACAATAACAGGGTATGTATTTTTAGGACCAAGATATGCATATTTAAGATTAGATGGAAGGGGTTTCAACTCTACCTCGGGAGGCGTCGAACTCTCCCCAACACTCGATGTACTAAGGACTTCCTTGACTGGAGCGATGATTGGATTAGCTTTTGCGTCTTCTAGTAGCCTCGTGTACTCCCTTACTTCCCAATCTTCATCATGGATACTCCCTATCAACACCGTTTCAAGAGCATCTTCCTTTTTGATCAGGGGAAGTTGTTCTTGTTGTAGATCATCGAGGACATCCACTTGACAAATAGTCTCACCCATAGACGGATTTCCCATAGCATTCAGTAATGAATACTCCATTTTCTCATCCCCTACTTCAAATGTTATTTTCCCATTCTTCATGTCAATAATTGCACCTGCAGTAGCTAAGAATGGTCTACCAAGAATAATAGGGACATGGGCATCTTCTTCCATTTCCATAACAACAAAATCACATGGAATAAAGAATTTACCAACTCGCAATGGAACATCTTCAAGTATACCGAGGGGAAATTTAACTGACCTGTCTGCAAGTTGCAGAGATATCCTTGTAGGCTTTAGCTCACCCATTTGAAGCTTTTCGCAGATGGAGAGCGGCATAAGGCTTACACTTGCACCAAGATCGCATAGCGCTCTATTGATCTCTATATCTCCGAGCTTCACTGGGATTGAATAGCTGCCTGGATCACCTAGTTTCTTAGGAAGAGTGTTTTGCAGAATGGCACTACATTCTGCAGTTAGAGAAACAGTAGCATTCTCTGCAAGCTTCTTCTTGTTAGATAGCATGTCTTTCAAAAACTTTGCATAAGAAGGCATTTCAGAAATTGCATCCAAGAACGGTATATTAATGTGAAGTTTCTTAAGGATGTCTAGAAATTTACCGTACTTTTTCTCTAACTTAGCCTGGGCTAACCTCTGTGGGAAAGGGACTCTTGGCATGTATGGGGCGAGAGGTGGGATCGGTTCCCGTGGCTTTTCTTGAACATCATTCCTTGGAATTAGGCTGTCTGGATCTCCCGCCCGGTCGGGCAGTGATTGCCCGGTCTGACCGGGCGAAGAAGAGCTGCTTATGTTCTTCTGTTTGTCTGGAATTTCTTCTTGCGCCCGATCGGGCGGACCTTGCCCGGTCTGATCGGGCGAAGAAGAAATTCGCACAGTCCCCTGTTTTTCGTCGACTGCTTCTCGCGCCCGATCGGGCGGACATTGCCCGGTCTGACCGGGCGAAGAAGAATTTTGCAAAATCCCCTGTTTTTCACTCATTCCCTCAATATCTATCGTTGATGGTTCCCTTACGGGAAGGTCTTCCAACTGTTTTCCACTCCTTAAAATTACAGCATTCATGTGCCCCTTTTGTGGTTGCTCTGTTTGGCCAGGAAACGTACCTGGTGTTTTTGAAGATTGGCCGACTTGATGAGCAAGTTGGCTTATTTGATTTTCCATGAGCTTATTCTGGGCTTGTAACTGTTGGATGGAATTATTTGTGGTGTTGATGAAGTTCTCCATCATTAGTTCGAGATTGGATTTTTGAGGGAGTGGTTGCATAGGTTGCATGGGTTGTTGTACTAGGGGTGGTCTTGGTTGAAAACCAGGTGGATTATAATTGTTGTTTCGAGGTGGGGGCGGAGGTGGATTTTGCTGAGCCTGGGTGTTTTTGTATGAGAAATTTGGGTGATTCTTCCAACCTTCATTATAAGTATTAGAATGGGGATCGTATGGTCTTTTAGGGTTGGAATTGTAGAAGGCATTGGCTTCCTCAATTGATACCTCATTCGAATTTCGTGGGCAATTAGGTGCGATGTGACCTTGAGTATTACACATTTGACAAGTTTCTAGCACATTATTAGAAGATCCAGTTTGTAATCTATCGAACTTGCTTGAAAGTGCCTGCACAGAACTAGTTAAAAGAGTTAGAGCATCAACATCTAATTTACCTCCTTTCTTGACACTATTTCGGCCGCCTGGGTGATAGTTGTCATTGGCTGACATCTTCTCAACCAGCTCCTTTGCTTCGGTTGGATTTTTAGTTAAAAGGGAGCCTCCAGATGCGGCGTCGATATAGATCCGGAATTCATGGGTTAGACCGTTATAAAAGGTTTGGATTAACATCCATTCAGGTATGCCATGATGAGGGCACTGTCTCTGTAATCTCTTGAATCTCCTCCATGCGTCATATAAGGATTCTTCATCTGATTGCCTGAAAGTGGATAGCTCGTTCCTTAATCTTGCAGTCTTTTCTTGTCCCAAGAACTTGACCAGAAAAGCTTTTACTAGTTTATCCCATGTATCAAAGGAACCAGAACCCTCATCTCTTAACCATTCCTTCGCCCTATCCCGTAATGAGAATGGAAAAAGGCGAAGTCTAAGAGCATCATCTGTAACACCATTCAGCTTCATAGTGTCACACTTTTCCAAGAAACCATCTATATGATTCACTGGGCAATCAAGAGGTGTGCCAGCAAATGAATCATTGGATATGAATTGAATAAACTGCGGTTTCAATTCAAAATTCTGAGCGGTGATAGGTGGTCTAACAATGCTAGAAAGGAGTCCGGTTGTTGTGTCAGGGATACCGTACTCCAAAAGAGACTTTGTTGCTTGGTCTTCCATATTTCTGTTACCTGCTCTTCTTCTACTTCTTCGTCTTCTTGCAGTCGCTTCAATTTCTGAATCGAGAGGCACTAAGTCGTCTGACCCTGAGCGACGTGTTTGCATACAACAAAGAACTAGGCAAAGAACATCAAAAACACAGGAGGCAATAGCCGAAGCAACAAACAACGCTTAGTAAAAACGAATCACGGAAAATCAATATGAAACCGTTAGTCCCCGGCAACGGCGCCAAAATTTGATAGGCTTATCGCGTACCTAACAAAAATAACCTAACTATTCCTTCTAACTGTGTAGTAGGGCAAGTAAGGATCGAATCCCAAGAGACTATGGTTCATTCAATTAATCAGACTCAATTAATCACTAAGCACGTCACCAATCAATAATGGATGATAATAATCAACTAATATATTAAATAACACAATTAACTAGAGGAAATATTAATCAATAAACTAAAGCATCCAAGATCAAGCATTACCACGATTATGATTGATAAACTAATAAATCTACCCCCAATATATAAATCAATCGACAAGAAGAAAAGCAATCCCTAATAATAATACCAAAGGTCTCTTCCAAGTTATCAATGGCTTCCCAAATTAACTATCAAGCCTACTTCCGTGGAATCAAGCGAATAAGGGACATTAAACACCATGCCTAGATTCCTAATTATTCAATCATCTACTTCCGTGATGATCTTCAAACCCTTAATTGGAATAACCTAATCCCGTTAATACCCAACTTCCGTTGCAATAAGAACAAAGGGATGATAACAATACTAATTATTCCTAATCTAGTATTGGCATAAACACAATCAATTAAGCATGTCAATTGGGATTATTATTGGGGAATTTAAAGATCTACTTTATACATCAATCATAATCGGGCTTAGCAAGATCCCGGATTAAGGAAACTACTCACACATCATAATAAAATCAAAATCAAGTTCAAAAACAAGAAACAGTAAAGAAAACATATTTAGAGAACAGTGAATATCAGAAAAGAGTGAAGTAAGATAAATACCAATTACTCCAATTGAAAGAACTCAAATTGTTGATGAACAATTGATTAATCTGGGATTAAAAGATTGAAATTGCTTAAAGGAAATAAAACTAGGGTTCTTGAGAGTTTTCTAGGGCTTAAGGAGAAAAACTAATGAAAAACTCTCTTTAAAAGTTAATTACAAAAGGGTATTTATACCCCCAAAAGATAGAAATTCGGAAATAGCTGAAATCGCGCAATCTTGAACATCGCCCGGTCAGACCGGGCAGATCTCGCCCGATCGGGCGGAGGAAGGCTGCGTAAAATACGACAGTTTTCCTTCTTTGCCCGGTCAGACCGGGCGAACCTCGCCCGGTCGGGCGCGCGTAACACGTTTCCAGAATTGCATCTTCATAACTTGACTTCTTCATCGCCCGGTCTGACCGGGCGAAGCCTGCCCGATCGGGCGCGCGTTGCACCGTTCAGAATTGGGCTTCTTCCTGTGAACTCTTCATTGCCCGGTCTGCCCGGGCAAGCCATGCCCGGTCGGGCACTCCACATAAATTGCAGTTCTTGGCTATCAACTCTTCCGAATCTACTAAAAACACGTCCAATTGCCTAGAAACGCTTCATATTCCTGAAAAGCTTACTAAAACAATCGAATACACTAAAGAAGAGATTCTTAGCAAGAAATGGCTCCGTAGAGCTCAAAACCATATAAAATTACTAAGTAAAACCGGGGAAAACCATTGTATAAAACACGTATATCAATGTGCTTATGTGACTACATGAATATGTGCTTATTATGTGCTTCATGTCTAATCTAATTAATTCCAACTTGTTACTTAGAGATATTAAAAAAATAATTCACAAAAAATGTTGTTCGACAAAAAAAAAAAGGATTGCACTTCGATTTTAGACAAAAAAAAAAAAAAAAAAACCGTTATCATTCTTTTTTTGTTTTCGTAAAAAAAAAATAAAAATTGTCGAACGTACAAGATGCACGCACAACTGTCAAAGTTGCGCACGCTCTCTAAGCTCAAGTTCAGAAGTTGCGCGCAGCCTTTCTGCGCAACTCTCTGACTTGTGCGTTCCAGCTTTTTAATGTTGACTTGGAATCGTTACGAGCAATGTTATACGGAGAAAATGATATTACCGCTTCAAGGTTAATTGTTAAGTAGGTGCTAAAAATATTTCTTTGGCTAACAACGTTGTCTAACTTAGTTACTTTTACTTTGATTGTCTTTTTTCTTTTTAAAAATACCAAATAAAAACATGCTTTTTATCGTTCATTTTGCGTTTTCACAAAAAAAAAAAAAAAAACAAAACCGCGTGTGGCAGGTGCTACTCTCGAAGATGCACTTTCCACCTTAGCGCAAGACAGAAAATTGTGCGCGATACTGTTTTTTATTATGATAATTCATTACACACTTTATAATCGAACTAATGACATTACTTCTCATAAGGTTCGTCATTAGAAATTCGCATCCCTTAATAGGACGTCATCAATATTCCCAGTCTTAAACATGCCTATATTCATGTTCATAATTATTTAGTTGTAATTTATCAACCTTGATTTCAGAGTGTAGACACCCCATTGTGTCTCCCCAAAAACCAAACCCGATGATGAATACTTTTCACGTTGCTTGATTATTGAATGAGGTGAAAGTGTGAAAAGTCTCGTGATGTGTTAGTTTTAATAAAAAAAACATTCTTCCTGTTTAAAAAAAGAACTCTATTTTATGAAAATAGCCAGTCTAATTTAGTTTGTTTCATGATAAAGGCCTATTAATAGTGTAGTTGGGTAGGGCTCGTAAAGAGCTTACCAATGGTATATTATTAGCCCAATTCCGATGAATAATGTGGAAATTATGGTCCAAATACTAATTTGGGTCTAAAATTGTTTTATGGCCCAATGATCAAGTGGAGGGCTTATTAGTTATTATTCTTAAAATTATTAGGATTGATTAAAGTCTTATAGAATAGTCTACAAGGTTAGTTTAAGTTCTAATAACATTCGAAATGATGATTAATATTTTAGAAAAATAATGAATTTAGTTTGAAATAAATTCAAGTGTTTTATTATGATAAAATCTGATTTCAAATATATTAAATGGAGTTTTAATTGTTTAATTATATTAAGAAAAATATTCCGTACAAAAGCGCGTTTTATCTTTTAATTGTCGCATAACGACAAGCTGGTGGGTGTCATAAATGGCACCCATTTGATGAGCATTTAGGTTGCTTTTACATTCTTTTCATGGCTTTTATGCTCAATAAATGCTTAGTTTTATGCATTTGGTCTTGGTTTTATCTTTCCTCACTTATTTTGCAGCTTTTATGCATTTAGATGG